TAGTTAATCAGTTGCCTCTGACAAAGCGGGCTGCAGTGCCTAAAAGTTTACACTCGAATAAAAATCCATTAAGTGCTGGAAGAATCTATTTTTGTGTTGTTCCTCAAGATGCATTTATTTGCTATCTTCTCATAATGACTTCAGTGTTGTTGTTTTTCCCCCCCGGTCTCTCACCTACAGGACACCGCTTTGAAAAAGCCGCGAGAAGTGTTTAGGCTTCCTGCAGACTTGACAGCTTGTGATAATCGACTTTGTGCGTCGATGCATTTTGCGTCTTCCACTTGGGTGACCCTTTCCGATGGAACAGGGAGGCTGTATCTGATCCGAACAGGCAAGCGTGGAGAAGGCGCCTGTGAAAAATGGGAAGTAAGTCTTGTAAACATAACAGTTTTCCATTGGCGTAGAAGCGTAAGATGGATGTTTGAAGGTTGTTCCGCTTCTGTCCCTCACTGCTTGAAAGTGCTTAGGATAAAACACAAGTGACTGCCTCTGCTGCTTAATGCCTTCCGGGTCCTTAGCTGCCTTGAATCGCATCTCAGACTTTTCATTGCACAACTTTATTTTTTCTTATCTTACTGGAGTACAGTCTAGAACGGATCTGACCTTGTTGGGCCGGGCCGTATGTGTCATAAAATGTAATGCCAGGTAGTGGAAATATAAGCGTTATAAAGGACACAAACACAAAAGGTTTTGTTTTTTTACTTAAAATAACAACATGCTTAAAACAGCAGCACTCTTGCAATATTTTGTTTATTTAACAGTGTCTGATAACTGACACCTCTTGCTCTGAATTATTGCATCAAAATGTCTGTGCTGTTGCAATCTTGAGCATGCTGTTCAGGTGTGTATCTGCAGGGCTCTTTTTGTAGAAAAAGCCCAGCAGGAACTCATTAGCATAATAGGCCACACCCAACAGCAGGAACTCATTAGCATATTGGGCCACACCCCTGACAGCACAGCTCACTAGCACATTAGGCCGCACCCCCATGTTACCAGAAGTGTGATTGCAATCTTGAGCATGCTGTTCAGGTGTGTATCTGCAGGGCTCTTTTTGTAGAAAAAGCCCAGCAGGAACTCATTAGCATAATAGGCCACACCCAACAGCAGGAACTTATTAGCATATTGGGCCTCACCCCTGACAGCACAGCTCATTAGCACATTAGGCCGCACCCCCATGTTACCAGAAGTGTGGTTATCCAGCTACACCCACCTTTTGCTTGTTATTCTGTTTACCTTGTTTGTTGTCAAAACCCAGGGCCTTTTTTTGTAGCAGGAACTCCTTTGCATGTTAGGCCACACACCCCTAATGCAGCCAATCCTAATGAGTTTCTGCTGTTGGGTGTGGCCTGTTATGCTAATGAGTTCCTGCTGGGCGTGGCCAACTTGGGAGCCAGCCGGAACTGCGTTCCTGTGCGCTCCTGCCCAAAAATAGCCCTGTGTATCTGTAAGCTGCAAACCTATGAAGATGCAGCAGCAGCAGAACTAGAAGAAGAAGCAGAAGACAGCC